GGGGGAGGGAAAAGTGCTTGTTATGCATTTTTCATCTATGCAAAAGCAAGAACGCGTATTGTGACGACCCCGGTGTATGTGTGTGTGTGTGTGTATGCGTGTGTGTGTGTGCGTGTGTGTGTGTGTGTGTGTGTATGCGCGTTTCCGGATATTTCAACTCGGCACCCAAGCAATCTCCGGCGCCAAAATTTTGCCAGTGGGTCTCCCGGCCAAGTGCCACCTCAGAGCCGTGGTACCAACCCTCACGCAAGTCTGGACCCCGCGTACGTGGGAGTAAAAGTTTTGGAGGGAAATTCGCTAGCTCGGGGACCAGAAAAGCTAGAAAGCTGAAATTTTGAGATTATGTTCCTCATCCACATAGAACTTAAAGATTTCAAATTCAGTCCCTAGGTATGCGTGGTTCTCACGTACGGCCTTGTGAAGGTTCCTGGCGGGAAAACGTTAGCTGGAGAACCAAGAAGGCTGGGAGGCTGAAATTTTAAGTGGGTGTTCCCAGCTCATGTATAACTTAAAGTTATACATTCATCCCCCAGGCATGTGCGGTTCTCACGTATGGCCCCGTAAAAATTTTTATCAGGAAAATGGCTAAATTGGGGAGCAAAAGAGCTGGGGCTGAAACTTTAGGGTTTTGTTCCCAGCCCACGTAAAAGTCAAAGATGTTAAATACGTATAGTTCTCACTTACGGACCTATGAAATTTCTTGGCAGGAAAATTGCTAACTCAAGAACCAGAAAAGTTAGAATTTGAAATTTTAAAGGAATGTTGCCTGTCCATGTACGCGCCCAAACTTCGAGAAACAGAATGTCACCCATTCTAGCTACTGGGTTTCCTAGCGATCTCAGCACGAAATATTGCAAAAATGCATGATCGCATGGGCCCGCCCGGTGCGCATCGGCAATGATTTTTGTATGTGGTTAGCAGATGCTTGAGTGTTCCGCCACTTCTGTTAGGAATGTGTGCATGTCGGAAGTGGTCTGGTCCGACGGTGTTCGATTTTCCGCAAATTGAGCTGGAGGGGGTCAACCCTCTATAAGGCATCATTCTTGTGCGGGTCTTACGAGGGCAGCAGTTCTTCGCCGGGTCTCCTCGTTCGTGCGGTCACACGTGCGTGGCGTAGCACCGATAGTAGCATCTGATGTCTACGTCTAGTTCACAGCGAAAACGGGTGGGCTGTGTTCATAGTGGTTTCGCGACGAGGTTGAAAAACTCATCGTTTGTGTGTGCTGTTCTGTGTCGCCTAGCTGTTCGCTTGCTTATTTCAGAAGTTAAAGAGCCGTTCGGTGGTCATCTGGGTGGTGGGAAGTAGCTCGGCCGGGAGCCACATGTCAGCATCGAGCGGCATCAGCAGGGGCTGGGATTCGAGCATTACTCAAGCTCATTTCCTAGCACGCCCATGTACGATCGGAACGAGCTGGTTGCGCCGGTGGCGAAGTGGATGTCGCTGACTGCTGTACGAGAGCAGTCCTGCTTGCCGCTGCAGCATGCTGGCCGGTTGTTACGCCGTATGCAGTGAAATTACCCATCACCACATGTTTGTTTTGAGTCGGTCGCTGGCACCATGCCGGCTCCGTGACCTCTGACCGACTCGTTACCTGTGCGGTCCGCATCGTGCTGGCAGACGTTCTGCTCTGAAGAAGCTGTTTGATCAGCTACTGAATTGCCTCAAGTTCCCGCGCTCATGTCGGCAAAAACATTTCTCGTTTTGTTCGAAGACGAATGCAGCTTTTCTCTTGTTCGATGAGTTCAGCTGCGCCCTCAGGGGCAGACTCCATCATCGCCTTAAAATGCTCTAAAAGCGCGCATGTAGCCACTGCAGGAAGCTAATTTTTCTCCATTTCCATCCCTTTCCACCCTCACTGTTCGCTTTGCGTTCGCCATAGGTGAAGTGGGTTTGACGCACAGCTGCACGGGCATTGTTCGGTTGCAGTGATCACGCAGAGAACGCTATAGAAGATACGAACGCCAAGTGTTCGGCCGGCCCGCCTGCCTTGCGTCGAGTGTGCTTCGCAGTCGGCAAAAGCGAGCCTCACCAGTGCCATGCCCTCTTTTCTCGCCATTTTTACACTTTCGTGCAAACCTTTGCGAACAGACGAGCTTCTCTCTGTGTACTTGCTTCTGAGCGGCGGAAGCTTTCTTCGGTCGCTCTCGAACTTCTCAGCCGTGCAGCCACCCTTCCCCAGTGCTCGTTTTACAAGTCCTGTCTCGTATAGACGTGACAGTTCGCTTGACTTCATTTTGATTCGTATACAGTGACGAGACTGCAACCGCAGCTTGCTCTGCCCACCGGGCCTCCTCCTCGCTCAGTTTGTCTCTCGTCCCGTTCCATCGTGTCGGATTGGGAAGCAGACATCGCAGAGTACTTGGGCCATATTTCAGTGGTCAAAAGATGGACAAAGCAGCGGAAGAACGCGTGCGAGCTTATGTGCAGGAGGTGGAAAGTCGCGTGGCAAGTCAACTTGCCGATCGTAAAGCGGTTGAAGATTCTGTGCCGTTGTCCGAAGATCAACTTCGTAGGTTGGACAGCACATTGAAGCGAACAACGGCTTTCATGAAAAAGCTAAAAAATATTGGATCCGGACAGTACACTTCAATTATGCAGGATCTTCAAAAGGCTTGTTTTTTCGCTTTTTATCTTTTATAGCGTGTTTATGCGTTTTTGCTATGCAACGATATAGCGCTGATACAGCGAGCAAAAACGCATATTGTCGAGAAGTCGTCTGTGTCTGTGTGTGTGTGTGTGTGTATTCGAAAGCGAGTGAACTTTGTCACCCACTTTCAACTCAGCAACCAGGAATGCTGGGAGGCTGAAATTTTGAGGACTTATTCCCACCCCGTTTGTCACCTCCCTTTTCAAGATCTTCCTTCATACGCGTCTAGATCTCGCATACGGACCCGACAAAAAATATACAGATTTTTGTGAAGGAAAACGATTTTGAAAACCAGGCAAGATAGAAAGCTGAAAATTTGCAAGGGATATTCTGTATGCTTGTACGAGCTAAAGATTTCAAATCTAGCTATTGCGCAAGCTTGTGCAGCGCGTACGGTCACGTCAAAGTTTGTACCAGGAAGTGTGTTAACTCGAAAACTAGCCGGAAACAGTGGTTGAAATTTTGTCAAAATACTTTTCGTCCATATACTTTAAGGGGAGTCGTATTCTTTAATTGAGTTCCGATTTGCACTTGCGCCACAACTTAGGGCACTTCTAAGATTTTTCTGCGGTATTTCGTTTGCCGGATATGATGCGAGGCCGAAACTTCGTTGGGATATTCTACTTTCAAGTGTGGTCTTTATTGTGCTTGGTAGTGAAATTCCCTGCAGGTGGGTATGAGAAATACTCAACTTTATCACAAACTCAAAAACGAGTGCATTTTGCAACGAACGATTGCCCTCATCCTCTCCCAACATCTAGTCCATTTACATATTTGGATTTTTGACGAACGACCGCTCTAACAACATTTCCACTTTTCAGTGAAGAACTGGAATTGGATGTTGATAGAGGATGAGGGCGGTCGTGCGCTGCAAAATGCACCCGCTTCTGAGTGAAAACTGCGTAAAAAGCTGAGCGAAAACGCATGTTCGCACCGGCTACCGTAAAGCGTTCAAGCCTGGGTTGCATATTGTTTTGAACCGCTTGTTCTTTTTTATATACAATAATTCATTTAATGGATATCGGCTGTGTAGTTTCATAGATGTTTTGTGTTGTATTTCTCCGTTCTTATGGGCATATTTATGGGGGGACTCTGGTACGGTAACTCCCAGCAGACTTTTTTTGGCAAAGGAATGCCCGGAAGGCGAGCTAACCGCCGATGATGGAGCATCGCATGGAGAAGCTGTGGATCACACTGGAGCTGCGGTTTGTACAACTACCTGATGTGTTTAATATTTGCGTGAGCGCAGCATGTGCCCTGGCAGTACCATTCCATTACTACTTTTCTTAATCGAAACTCACTTTCCAGGTAAATTTATCAAAGTTTGTGGAGGAAATAGCAAGCACCATTGCCGATGCGAAAATCAAATATAATGATGTAAAAGAGGTGGTTTCGATCTGTGTTAAACTGAAATGTTATTACGCCGAGTTTTCGTCTCTTCTGCTGCTCGAACTGCGCAAATTAATGCCGGTGAAGCGATCAGACAAGATCCAGAACCCTTCCAAATTGCGAGTCGACATAAGGTGTCATTCTTTTAACATAATTTGCAGTTTGGTTAAACTCGCAGCAAAAACCTCAGTGTTTCGGTGAAGCTTTTCCTTCAAAATTTCTATGGGAACACGCGCGTTTCTTTGTGCTCCTGGCATTTTCCTTCAATAAGTAAATTGCTGTTCACAATCGGGAAAGTGAATATTTATGATCTACGAGTTGCAATGTAAGAAATGAAGTGATGGTAATGCACAGTGTAAGTCAGGCGCACCTCGAAATGGGTACGTCTTGCCAAATGCTTTTGTTGTGGGAACTGCTGAGCGTGTAATTCTTGTGGAAAATGAAAGTTTTATCAAAGTTGCTAGCAAGCTGACAAACAAAGGATGCAGAATTGGTCAGCGAAACTAGAAAAATTACCTGCTGTACAGTAAGGAGAATCGGCCGATCCAGTCGTTTGAGTAGATTACTGAGCAAAAACCAAATTTAGTGCAGTGACTGTGCGTTCACGCATTTGTCTATCAAAGTAATTTTTAAACGTACTAAGACTTCCTGGGCAACCAGTGATCCTTGTTATTGATGTCGCTGGGTTGCTTCTGTTCCACAGGCGCAGCCCATTGCCTGTTCGGTATCGATATGTGCCCTGTTTGGACGGAAATGAAAACGATACTAACATATCGTAGCGGTTTTGGAATCCTGTAAGCAAAAATGAGAAATGGATACCTCGTTGTGTCTTGGAAAAGTGTTTTATCGGTTGCTTGCCGAAAGTTTCTTTATTTTGATGTTCAGGCTTCTGACCGAACTCTGTCTGCATGGTGTCTTTGCGAAGGAAGGATTGCAACTTCTTGGCTCCGTTCTCTCCTATCTGACAATCACCGATAAATCTGATCATCTTAATCTTCCAATCCTCTTGCCGTTTTGCAAAGTCAGCAGTGTTGACTTGCTTGGTTTACACAGCTTCCCAGTCAAACAGGTACGCTTTATGGATATGGTCTGTTTTCAGCTGCAGCATCCGAACAGCTCCGCATGAGGGTTTGAAGGATTAGAAATCGGGAGAAGCGATCGATTCAGGTCTAAATGATTGGAATTGCGTCGGGTTCTAGCCACGCCTAGTTCTTGTGGTTTTTAATGGAATTCCCTAACTGACACCGCCATCTGTATGTAGAAAATCAAATTCTGGATGTATGGAATTAGCGAAGTCGAATGTTTTCTAAAATGCATTTTATATCATTTCCGAGAGTTTTGACTGTTGGCAGGGGAAGTAAGCCCATTGGTCTGTACAGCATCGTGCTATGCTTCCAGTCAGCTCTTCAGTAATCTTTTAAAATGCTGTATTGCTGTGAATTTTGAATTTTAGGCTTCAATCTGTATGGCTTCAGTCAAGGTTTTTATAACCTGGTCCTCCTCCTCTTGCTGTCAGTCTTTTCACATAAAACGTATCGAAATCCTTTTGGCTCATTTTTGTACTAATATTTCGGGGCCAAAATTGTACTAATTGGGCGTTTTTGCCTATATGCAGATTGCAAAAATGCATATTGCAACGACTCTGCCTGTGTGTATGTGTGTGTGTGTTCGCCTGTCGGGATATTTTAATTCGACAACCAAGCAAGCTCTGGCGCCAAAATTTTGCCACTGGGTCCCACGGCCATGTGCCACCCCATAACCGCGGTACTGGCCCTTACGCAAGCCTGAGGGGAAAAGTTTTGGCGGGAAAATTACTAACTCGGGAACGAGAAAAGCTTGAAAGCTGAAATTTTGAGATTATGTTCCCCGTCCACACAGAACTCAAAGATTTCAAATTTAGCCCCCGGGTATGCATGTTTCCCGCGTACGGCCCTTGGCACAAAATTCGCTAACTTGGGAACCAGGAAAGATGGGAAGCTGAAATTTTCAGGGAATGTTCCCAGCTTATATACAACTTAAATTTGTAGAACCCAGACCCCAGGCTTGCGTGGTTCTCACTTACGCCCTCGGGAAATTTTGCGGGGAGAAAACGGATAACTCGGGAACCAGGAAAGCTGGGAGGCTGAAATTTTAAAGGGACATTCCCAGCCCACATACAACTTAAAGACTCCAAACCTAGCCTCCAGGTATGCCCCCAGGTCACATGCGGTCCTGTTAAAGTTTTGGCGGGAGAATTGCTAACTCGGGAATCAGAAGAGCTGGAAACCCGAAATTTTAGGAGAATATTCCCCGTCCAAATACAACTTAAAAGTTTCAAATTCAGCCTCCGTTTCTCGTGTGCGGGCACTTAAATTTTTGGCGGGAAAATTACTCATTGAACACTTCCAAAAAACGACCGCTAAACGGGAATTGTTTATTTCCTTTCATGCAAAATTTACATGATTTACGATATTGAGCGCACAACGTAGGTATGAGGAAACAATCGTTCATGCAGTTAACCTAATTCAAGTTTGGCGCAAAAACGCATGATCGCACCGGCTCGCCTGATGCGTTCCAGCCTGAGTTTGGCTTGGTACTAAGATTTGATCTGAAAGATGCGTCCAGCCAGGTGTTTTTAGCAGTTTAGACTTTCAAGAAAATATACTGCAGTTTTCAAAATGGTCTTCCTTAAATTGATGGATGACGATTTTAGTTGCTCCTAACGCCTGTATCGTTTATGTTGTCACTGTATTGGAATAGAGGCCACTCTGCCTGTGCAAAACGTGGAGCGTGCAGAGCTGGAAATAAGCGTAGGTACACGGATTACGGAACAACATCACATTAACGTTGGCGATTTTTCATTGTGCTTTTAATCTCGTGAATTCTGCCTTCTCTCTCTCTTTTGTTTCCAGTAACTGCGCTCAAATTACAGGATGCTACAGCTTTGGGTACTGAACTGCCGTGCTCTCCGGTATTGACCAGTGAGCATAAGAAAACATTTGCTCAACTCTTCTTGGATTATCGTGCATCACTAATAGAGCACATACGCAAGGTAAATTAATTCCATTATGCGTTCCGGGTTGGTGCGTGTACACATGTTTGCATGCAGCATTTGCCGCTATAAGCTTGAAATGCGTCCACACTAGCTACGTTCGTGAAAGTGGATTCTGTTCGCGGCACTGACATAGTCAGTTAAAGTGTGCTTATTCAAATTTTTTCGTTTTTTTTTTTCTTTTTCATTTCTGCTGTACAGTGAGCAACGACAAATAGTCAAAAGTTTTTATGTGTATGTGTGAGTGTGTGAGTATTTTTGTATGTATATTTGTATATGTGTATGTGACTGAGTGAACTTTGTCACCACTTTCAGCGCCGCAATCACAGAAGTTGGAAAGCTGACATTTTACGGGCATGTCCCTGGCCATGTGCCACCCTTAAAACTTGAAATCAACTTTCACGCGCACCTAGGTTCAGCGTACTGACGCCTAAGAGAGGAAACGTGTAAATTTTTTGGTGAGGAACGATTTCGAAGCCAGCACAGAAAGTTGAAATTTTGCAAGGATGTTATACGTCCGTATGCAATCTAAAAATTTCAAATTCAACTGGTCGTTAATATCGTGCCATCTCGAGAAATAACAGGAAAAAGATACCAGTGATTTTGCGGCAATGCTGGTCGCCTTTGTAGGGGGCTCATATACTTAAATTAAGTCCTGGATTGCACCAGCACGTCAAAAATATTTGCAGCGAAATTGTGATTCCAGGAACCGAATAAGCTGGGAAGTTGAGATTTTACAGTGATATTCTCTGTCTGTGTGCGAACGAAAGGTTTTAAATTCAGCTTCGAGGCACGTCTAGGTCTCGCGCCATGAGCAAGTAAAATTTTAGTTTTGGGGAATCTTGATGCTCATTTGTCTTGCGATCAAGTTAAGTAGGAAGCCAAAGTACTGTTGGAATGTTTACTGCCCATTTGCAAGCCTGAAAAAAAAAATTGACTTCTTTCACATGTGCCCATCGCACAGGCACGTCAGATGTTAAGACTGCAGCACATTTGCCATCGTTCCCTCCCTGTAATCAGACAGCCAAGAAAGCGGAATTTTACCGGAATGCTGACTTATCTCGTGCGTCACTAGAAACGTAAAATTAGGCTTCACAAATGCCCATATCTCGCTTGTGGATGCGGTAAACTTGAGAATGCAATTTCACCGGCAATACTTACATGCAAAATTCACGATAATCATACGTGCGAGGGGTTAAGATTTCGTACGACCGACCCCATGATGTAGTACTCTTTTCTAGCTATTATCCCATTCGCCTCCACCAACGCATGCAACAAAAGCCAGAAACGTTGCCAACATGTGTGCATATGTTAACTGTAAAACAGGGATCATTCACACTGTTGACGTTCCGGTTGTTTCAAGATTTGCACAAGATTGCATATTTGCACCGGCAACGCGCTAGGACGCGTTGCTATCTGAGTTCATTATTGCGGTTGCTTTTTGGATAAATGTGCCGATGATTGTGCCAAATGTCTGTTAGAATGTGCATACACGCATGAAAACGTTGCTGCTGTTTATCATTGCTGAGCACTCTTACTGGAGCATATTTACTGACTGCGTATAAGCTTAGTCCGACTACACATTTCTAACAAAAAAGGGGCGCAGTATTTTTCAACATTTCTGCGTTTTGCGTTTCTCTTCATCACATCTTTCTAACCTTACAGGATTTAATGGAAGTGAATCAACTGCTACGCTCAATAAAGAAGCAAATGCGAACACGTGGAGACGCATCAGCTGAGGATCATAGTCGCTTAGACGCGGCTCGAGCACGTTACGAAAAGATTCTTGCAGCTGGTGTTCAGCTTAGTGAAGTACTGGGCGTTGAAATGGAAAAAATGGAGGAAGAACAGGTGTCGGCTTCAAAAATCTTAAATAATTTTTATGGGTGCAAAATTTGTCCTGAGGCTGAATTATGCAAATGACGAAAGAAAAAGTAAAATTTTTGGACAGCAAGATCACTGAGTTAAAGCTGAAAAAGCGATTCTTTATTTCTATGTCAGTTAGTCTCAAAGGTTCCTGTTTTCAGAACACAAGTTTTATGGTGTTCAGTAGGGCAAAATTTCAAATCCTCGTTCTGATCTCGGCTTCGGCAGCTGGCCATGGAGTAAAAATGGCCGTATTTGAAGCAATATTAAAATTTGGATTAGGGGCTAGGGTATTATGTATTGTCGATTCCTAGCATGCTTACTATACAATATTTTATGGGGCAAAAAACATGGATAATACGGCTACAGTCAACCTTGCTGGGTCACTGAATTGTTTTATTAATTCCGTGAAGCTGTGCATTAGTATTAGAAAAGATCAAACTAAAACATGTGATGTGGGCGGAATAGAAGATTTTTAAACCAGTTTTTAATAGCATATTGCGTGTAGGGTCGTGGTTGACTGCTGCTTCCGCAGCATCTAGCGAAATACAGTCTAACGACCTTTCGGATGCCATCGCATTCGAAGGAGAGGCATGCAATTCTTGAGCATGGAAAGTCGAAAAATGCACTGCGGCTGTGGCGGAATTAAGCGTGTTTTTAGCGTGCCCTGCTGAACACACGGCAGCGATATATTTCGTCCGATGTCGCAGTGAGCAAGAAAAAAACGGTAGAACACATTATTCGCATTGCTGCAGTTGGGAGGCGTGAGGTAAAAAACAATTATCGAATAAAGGGAGATGAAGACAGTTAGCCAGGACAGTATGACTGGTTACTGTGCAACTGCATCTTTTCGGGGACTTCGTGTCAGTAACCTGGTTGACCTTGATTATCTTAGTGAAAAAAAAAATCTCGTGTGTTACAGAGCGAAGACGAAGAGGAAGAGATCTTGACCGTTGCATTCAGCCAAGCAAAGCAAGACGGAAATTTAAGTATATGGCCAGATAAAGACACACGTTATTTTTATGAGACGAAATTGGAGCTGCGGCAGCTTGTTCCGTCAATTCTTTTCCAGGTATTTGATGGCAGACTACGATTGGAAAGGATTATGCTACCTTTAAGGATGAAAATTAGCTTATCATAGCTGCATGCATGCCATTTTTCACTTTTTCAGGAGTCTGAACAACAGACACTAGATTTAGTTGGGACAAAGATTGATGATGTGGATTTAAGCGGCTTGGATACAGTTGTTGAAGAGCCAGAAAACGACAGGGAGAGTCTCAATGAAGAAGGTTATTTTGTATTTTTAGTCACTTTGCGAGCTTAACTATATACACATAAATATATACAGATGTATTTCAGTCATGCACATCCATTAACGAAACAAATCGGGAAGTAGAAAGATGGCACGTTAAACATTCTAGGTGTAGCTGTTGAGGAGTTGGGTTACTGGAAGTGGCGCAGTCATTTACCAAAAGAAGTTAATGTTACAGATGAAGATGTTACACTGGAGGTAGTTGATGTGAATCCGGCTATTACCGCAAGTATTATGGAGCCGAAAGTGTCTGGGCAAGATTTGAAGACCATGACAAGTGAATTTCTTCGGCGGCTTCCGTGGTTGATCAACAGGGATCTTATCGACAGTGCCGCACTTGATTTTGTTACTAACCTGAACACGTCGAGCAACAGGAAGAAACTGTGCCAAAGTATGATTAGTCCGAATTTATGTTTTATTTTAGTATGCAGATGCGGTGACATTTTTACATTCTGATTTAATTAACGCTGCTGCTGCTTCATTCCATATAACATTTGAAGAGAGCTTGAAACAGGATAGTCCCTTATCGCACAGGCGGCTGTTTTTGAAGTAATATTCCGTAAGTTGGGTTGGTAGAAAATCTGAACTGTACCTGTGAAGAGCTCGATTATGTTCGCTTTGCGAGAAACACAGTTATCGTCGCCAAATGTGCTGGTGAAATAAATGGGATGGGACTGTACAGAAGTTAAATTGTGAAATGAAGAGGCAGGCCAAGAAAACATCGGAAATGATGAAGGCAGTGCAGATTGCTGTCGTATCCTATGGCCAGTTCAGGTTGACCTTGCAAGTTTGAAAGAACCTGACAGTCCAGGTTGCACCTGGGCCAGAGTCTCCTTCCCCACTCATGTCATGACTAACTTTTCACCTGCAAATTACGCATCGATACGATTGTTTAGTGCATAAATTCGAACTGCGGGCAGGTCTGTTAATGGCTCCTTCATTGGAGAATTGCTATTGATAGCGGGTTTTATCTTCTTTTATGTGCCAGTGCCAATTTACCACTGAAAAAAATGAGCGGGTCGTCGAGGGATTGGTCCCCTCATTGGCGGAGCCGAACACCTGAGCTTCATGGCAACAGTGCTTGTAGAGAAAGCGATGTCCTGATGTGGGTAATGAAGCGGCGAGTGCTTGAGGTATATTCTGTGACTGTACAAAGAATAAGTAACTCTGACAAATGAGTGTCGTGGAAAGTTCCGTTGTAACCTTTTGCTTCGCTGTGCGAAACGCATCACTCCGCTGGCCCACAGTGTGTGAGCTGCCGCATGTCAGTGCGTTTTATCCGTGAAGCAGAAAACAGCTCACGAGAACGACTTCTCGCTCTGTCCGCGCTCTCCCCCTCTGATTTCTCTCTCATTCACGTATCTGTCCTGCAAAGTAACCACATGACCGTTCAGAACATGGCGGGTAGGAGGCTGTACTGATGATTCCCACTCCTACCCGCACACATTGTTCAGTCTGTGTTTACAGCTAAGGGATGAAACAAAGACTCCCCACATCGTAAAATGTCCTTCGGCACATGGCACTTAAGACCAATCCTTCCATTCTACTATTCGAAATAAATGGTATACATAAATATGACAATTCGGGGCCGAGGGCAGCATAGTGTGAGCAGTTTCGCGGGTAAGTTGTGAATAAAATTCAGTTTTCCCAACATTAAGCATTGGTTTAAGAGGTACACAAAATTCTACATAATTTAGTGATGCTGGAAGAACATCAAGCACGACTGGATTTGCTGCCCTTCTATGGGCGTCTTATTGCAACTTTAGAGCCAGTTATGCCAGATCTGGCCATTGAAATCTCCCAAACATTAATTCAGCAATTCCGAGCAGGAGTACAGAACAAAGCAAGCATGCGAATACATATGAAGATGAGGTGTTGTCGGTTTATCTCAGAATTGGTAAGATTTCCGTCGCTTTCGATTCAGAGAGATACGTGTAGACTCGCGACCTCTGCAGCGTCCAGTTTTGCAGGTGAAACTGTGATTACTGCGCTTGAAACTAACCCCGTTTCACGATTTGACACTTAAGTTGTAGTGTTTTTGCGGGAGCACTTGTGGCAGCAACTGATCTTGCACAGTGAGCTCCAGTTTTGTGCGCACGTGGTTATAGGATCAGAGGTGTCGCTCATTTCCAGCGTAGCTCTACGTTTTTGTTATATTTTTTTCGTTTGAAATTTTTGATCGTCCCAAATGAATTCATTTCGATAATCAGACCTAATCTTAACTTTTTATAATCAGTACCGATAAATACGAAGGATCCGTAGACGAATTTTCAGAACCAGAGATCTTCCTCAAAGCATGACTTTATAATATGTAGCAGGTTTAAGGGATCCCACAGAGCGTGTCTTTTTGATAATTTTAGGGCTTGATTTGTCGGGAATTTCATGCTCGAGTGTGAATTCTTCTGCATAAGAAAAGTCTGGTGTTTTAGTGTTGTTGGAGAATTAAAAAAAGAAAGAATTTTCTTTCACAAACCAAATTTTTTTGCGTTTTGTGCTGTGCAATAGCAGTACAAAACGCATATTGTCACGGGGTTGTCTGTGTTCGTGTGTGTGTGTGTGTGTGTGTTTGTGTCCCGCATTTTGCCCCGCACTTTCAACTCGGGAACCGCAAAAGCTAGGCGGCTGAAATTTTAGCATAGTATTCCCCGCCAACGGGTGACGCAGCAGATTTAAATTCAGCCTTCCCGTACCCGCGGGTGACAAGTACGGCCCCGTGAAAGTTTTTCGGGTAAAATCAGTATCTCGGGGACCACGGAAAGTATGAGCATGTTCCCCACTCATGTGCTACCCAGAAAATTTAAATTCAGCTTTCCCCCGCCCGTGGGTAGCAAGTACGGCCCCGTGGAAATTTTTGACGGGTAAATTATTATCTCGGGAACTACAAAGTCTCTGAAGCTGAAATTTCAGGGTTGTGACCCTTTGCCTACGAACGATTTTGCAAATACATGTTCAGCGTTCCGCGTTCTTGGGGAAAACTTACGGGCTAGTGGGATTTTTTACTGGTAAATTATTATCTCGGGAACCACGAGTCTAGGAAGCTGAAATTAGAGGGTAATGACCCTCTGCACACGCTCAACCTTGCCTATCCAAATTCAGCGTTCCCGCGCTCTCGAATATCACTTTACGGCCTCGTGAAAATTTTGGCGGGTAAACTATTAACTCGCGAATCACGAAAAGATATTCACCCTTCAAGGTTTCGAATTCAGCTTTCATGCGCAGGTGCGTGAAATTT